AACCTTTACCATTAGACTGTCCAGTCCTTCTCACATAAGGCAATTTGCTAGAGACTCTGGAAATGGTAGCAGGAGCATGAACGTGGGGTCACTGTGACCCAAAGATAGGCTGGCCATGTCTTAATGAATGTGTGAGCTGAAGGAGACTGAGGTCTCTCTGACTCATCCCTTACGTGTGAACTCAATAGCCTGGACAGGAGACCCCCTGGCCCTGTCTGCAATTCTAGGTGTCTTAGATCAGCCAGTCAATTCATTAACATTCATTTACTGAATGCCTACTCAATAAATGCTCACAAGGAGCTTTGTTGGCTCAGTGATTAAGGCATTTGAGTGATAACCAAAATGTCAACAGTTCAAACCCACCAGCCACTCCATCGGACAAAGATGACACAGCCTGCTTTAGCAAAGATGTACAGCCTTGGAAACTTTATGGGGCAGTTCTACACTGTCCTATACAGTTGCTATGAGTTGGAATCAACTCGATGGCAGTGGGTTTGATTTGGTTACTATGTTCACTTTATTTGATTTGTACAGTGAACAAATATTCTGTGAAGCTGGGCTACATGAAGAATTAGTATGAGGATTGGAGAAACTCATTAACTACCTGAGATATGCAGATGATACAACCTTGCTGGCTAAAAAGGAACATGAGTTGAAGGACTTACTGATGAAGGTCAAATACTACAGCCTGTAGTAGGCATTACACCTATAGGTGAAGAAAACAAAAATCTTCACAACTAGGCCAATACACATGATAAATGGAAGAAACTGAAGTTGTCAAAGATTTCATTCTATTTGGATCCACAATCAATGCCCATGGAAGCAGTAGTCAAGAGTCAAATGACATACTGTGTTGGACAAATCTGCTGCAAAACACTTCTCTAAAGTTTTAAAAATCAAAGACATCATTTTGATGACTATGTTGTTCTATGGTATTTTCAAGCACCTCATATGCATAAGCTTGTTGTTGTTGTTAAGTGCCGTTGAGTCATTTATGACTCATAGCGACCCCATGCACAGCAGAACGAAACACTGCCCGATCCCGCGCCAGCCCCACAATCCCTGCTATACTTGA